CAACAGCAACAGCAACAGCAAAAACAAAAATAGCAGCAATGTAACCAGAAACAGCAACAAGAACAGCAAAAATCACTGAAAAATAAATAGAATCGCACACCTCATCCAGCATCTTCTTCTGCACAAGTTTCTTAACATCCTGGACCTTCTGCCCTTTGAAGTCACCCACAATCAAAGTCCCCTCGTAAAATCCTTTCTTGTAGGTAATCTCCTTGGCCTCCGTCAGCTGATCGCGGTCATTTTGACTCTTGATTTTAAGGTCATCACAGGCCTTGACTGCGCACAGGTTGCCATATCCTGGAACCTCAATGATCGGGATGGGATCATATGGAAGCACCATCTCATTCGTTATGCCAAACTTCTTGCGCAAATCCTGAAGGGCAAAATAGTCATGCGTTACGATATAACCTTCATATTTTATCAATACTCTCGTGGCTCGGATGACCACGTTAAATGACGGTGCCGTCTCCAATTTGGGGACGTGAAAGAACCACTGACGACGCAACAAACCCTGGGAATGACCACCCTCAGTGCCAGCGATGAGGTCGGATTAGCGCAGTGTTTCAAAGAGATTACTAGTGAATGAGACCTCCACACATTACCCACATTAATAACTACAGAAATATTTATCATAACCACAGCTAGTATACCAAAGGAATGTTGCCAGGTGTTGGATGGAAAACAAAAAATACCCTGAAACAACCTCTCGGCTGATCAAAGTCTGGGCACGAACGTAGCGCGTTATGTTTATTAAGAAGAACGAAGAACCTGGAGAAAAAATCCTCGAATCAAGGGAGAGACCTAACAAACTCTACTCACATGTGATGCTGAGTCTAGGAGTCAAACYCAATTTAGACCCAGGAGAAAAACCCTTGAATCAAGGGAGAGACCTAACAAACTCTACTAACATGTGATGCTGAGTCCAGAAATCAAACCCAATTTAGACCCAAGAGAAACCCACGAATCAAGGGAGAGACCTAACAAACTCTACTCACATGTAATACGGAGTACAAGAGTCAAACCCAAGGCCCTAAAGGTGAGAGGTGACACCGTGGGTTTCAAACCGACATTACCTCTTTCTTCTTCAAGTCACGAAGAGCTGCATAATCATCTGGAGCATCAGAAGGAACGGACGTTACAACACCAGTACCTGGAGAAGACGAGAAATTACTACGATGGGAAATATTTTACGACACGTGGCTGAAAAATATACGGCATATCTCGATTCTTGTTTAACTGTTTCTAGCACTTTATAAAAGACATACTTCTTTGTCACTGTCAATATTAATCGTGTGAGGACCTTTCAATAGAACATGCTTTTGGTGTTAGAGCTGCTTTCGCATGAGCGGGAAAAGATGTGGTAAATTCGTATTTGTACTGTAGCCATGCTTTACATCTTACCGTAGCCGTAACAACACGTTGTAATTGGATGGAGATTTCTGGGAAGCAATGGGAAGCCATTTTAATGTCATGGCATGTCGTACAATTAAGGAACGCTGTAAGTCAGTACCGTATGTTTCCCACTCATACGATAACCATTCTTATGGGAAGMCATTTCAATGTTACGGCATGTCGTACCGTGTACGTGCTGTAAGTCAGTACCGTATGTTTCCCACTCATACGATAACCATTCTTATGGGAAGCCATTTCAATGTTACGGCATGTCGTACCGCGTACGTGCTGTAAGTCAGTACCGTATGTTTTTCAATCATACAAAAACCGGTTTATAATTGTAGATATGCGGCTTTGAGATGATGGCAAGCATTGGCGACGTTAGTCTCCTAAGCAGCCGCTATCAGTGTCATCACGCCACGCTCACTCCCCTAAATAGCTACTTAGGGGAGTGAGCGTGGCGTGACGACACTAATTGCGGCTGTGTAAGAGACTATGGCGACGTGTGCGTCGAACAGAAATACGTTTGCACCTTTATTGCTGAAGCCATCTCGTTCTTAGTTTATCTCAAATGATTGATCGATCGATCTTCTAGTCTTTCACATAAACATGGTTCTTACCCTTATCTTCTTTGATAGTCAGCATTGGTAGGGTGTAGATAACCTTATTAGATGTGAGAGGCGCATTGAGAGCCAGACCCATGATATCCTACGAAAGAGAACAATAGATGAAAAGAACTGACGCATACCATTTGAGAACTGCCCGCTCGGACTGATCGGTTAGACCTGACCCTTACGACAGCAGTGGCATAAATTCAAACTGGTTTGAATTCTTGTGTCTGATGGCCGTGCAACTTTGATCTCGTGTTTTATTTCTGTACGCGATTCATTGCTTCATGCAAACAAACCTAAAGAATCGACTTCTTCACAGGAATGAATATATCAATTATGCGAAGACTTACCTGGCCAGTAAACTCTACCAACACAACAACTTCGGTCTCTTTGGAAGTAAACCCTTGATATGACATGTTTCTTGCCGCACGATAAGAACAGATGTAGACCTCGTTTGGGATGTTTGTCTCAAATGCAATGTACTGGAAGTAAAGAACAAAATGTATTGTACTACGCTTTTCTATAACTCCAGCATTCTACAGTAGGTATCTGATGGACTTTGCTTGCTTATTCTATTGTTCGTTCGTTTTCTTGTTCGTTATTTCTTTGTTGTTGTTTTTTGTTTGTTTG